GAGATCTTGTGAAATGCGTTAACAGGTCCTGTATTCATGTCCTGGTGGTTTGTGTGTCCTATGGATCAATAAATATACACTATATTCATCTATGCTCCGGGGTGCGGCTGACCCTTCTTCCTGTTGCATTGTGTGTGGTTGCGAGCCAGAGCCTGTACCTGACGTGGATTGATCTGGATTGTTTGCCTAAGCCAGGGGTAGGCAACCTGCGGCTCTCCAGCTGTTGCAGGACTACAAGTTCCATCATGCCTCTGCAAGTCATAGCTGTAACTGTCAGTTTGTTGTAATGTTGCAATGCCTCATGGGAAATGTAGTTCCACTACAGCTAGAGAGCCGCAGGTTGCCTACCCCTGGCCTAAGCGGTATACCTTAGTTCTTTGGATAGAGAATGCAGAACTGTGGATCAGTAGAACTGTGTGTTAATAAATTTGAATTGAGAATCAGCAGAAGCGGACTAGGATAAGGTGAAAGATGTTGTCGTGAAAATAATTTAACAGTACAAAAGGTGACCCTAACAAAGGGGTGGGTTGTAATAGGTCTACTCTTAGAGGAGGCAGGATAATGCCTTCCAAAAGGGCAGTAATTGCAGCCTGTTCTAGTTCAAGCCATGGTTTAGTAGTCTTCTGGGTGCACCAATCAACCACTCTTCTTAAGGGCTACTTTTTTACAGTTTCATAGATCTGCTTTAATCTTTTTCGCCAATGGGCAAATATTCAATTCATAAATCCATCTTAACTTAGCGGGAATCAGCATGCCCAAATATTTAATATGTGAAGATAATCAGTTAAAAGTAAAATTGTCATTGTAGTCTCTGTATTTGTTGAGGAGACAACATTATTATTATACAGGATTTATATAGTGCCAGCAGTTTGCTCAGCTCTTTACAATATAAGGAGAGACAATACAGCAACAATACAGTTCAATACAAGATGGATAGGAGGGCCCTGCTCATTGGAGCTTACAATCTAGGAACATAATATTAAGGGCTTCTGATTTTGAAACGTTAATTTGGTCATTAGAAAGTGCCCCATAAATCTCCAGCTCTTGTACAAGACTGAAAGGGAAGTTTGAGGGGATGAAAAAAAAAAAATCAAATCATCTGCATATGCTGCAACCTCATGAGCATACTTAGAAATATTAAGGCCTGTAATTACCTGATGAGACCTAATAACAGTTCAAGAGAGAATAAATATAAGGGTAGATAAAAAGGACAGCCTTGTCGGGTTCCGTTTTCAAAAAGGCCCTGATCCATGCCAACATATTCATCCCTAAACTCACTCTATCAAAAGGCTTTTTCCACAATAGTGGATAAGAGAATAAAGGAAATGTTTTTCTCTTTGACCAGATGTACAGTACTCAACATTCTCTGAGTGTTGTCTCTCACATCTCATTCAGGTATCAATCCAGACTGATTGGGATGCAAATATATTGGACTGCAAGTGTACCTCATCCTTAATATGCAATACGAAAAAGACACAAAGCCTAATGGGATTTTTACTAATACATTAAGTGGACAACCTCATGTGGTACATTAAACATATTTATTGAAATACATCTTCCAAACACATTATATAAAAACAATACTTGGCTAACGAGCCCAAGAACTAACAGCATCATCTACTATGGCATCAATGTCCTCCAGGGGTTGACGCGCTTTGCTTGTTAGCTTCTTCAGGACCCCAAACCTGGAAGCGAGGAAATCAAATGCCTAAGCTGGAAGTGTGTGTGTGTGTGTATGTATGTGTATACACAGTGTCACAAAACCATCATAAACCTTAAAAAAAAAAAAAAAAAAAAAAAACATTCTCCGCAGACTCACATGCTAACATAAACGGTGATGCGAGGCAACAGCACCCACACAGAGGGTCAAAACATGGTCTTGGGTGAGCATCCACATCCAGAGCCCCTCCCCGTCGTCCCCAATCAAATAGAACCCTGCAAGGAGAACAAAACTAATGAAGGAAAAGGGCAGGGGAAAGAGGGAGAAGGAAAGGAGGGGGGGGGATAATACCGCCCAAGTATAACTAGCAGTAGATCACTAACAGACTCAAGAGTCAAGCAGCAGATGTATTTATATATGCAAGTATTATCCATATGTAAAATATTCCATGGGTGCATTCCAAAAAGCAATCTAATTATAATATGTATGAAAGTCGGTATGGAGATATCCACATTCTAAGGAATCATAACCATCTCCGGCAAACCATTCCTCAACACCTACCTGGTAATCCCATCCAAATGGAAGGTGCAAAAGGAATGCAAGGCCGGATAAATCTTGTATAATGCAAATACGCTCCTTTCAATAATTAAATGTCTCATATGTGTCAGTACACAAAATCTTCTAAGTGTGGCTCCTGCAATCACAAAAAACAATAGCCATGCTTAGTAATCCCTTAAATAACAATTTCATCCATCAAACCAAGTCAAAACACCATATCTAATACCTTAAAGTCACTATATAGCGTCAACCGTCCACTGTGTGTGCCTCCCATATGGCGCCTAAACCGGCATGCGGCGGAACGCATAAATAGTGTCAATCAGGGACAGCACCTCCGCCAAGATAAACCACAGGGCGGAAGTTGACCACGCATCCCAGAGGTTTATTCATGCGAGCGCACGCATAGCGCTTCTGCCTTAACAAGATAGTGGGCGAAAGTGCCCATAATGAAAGCACACAGAGCGCATGCGCGCCCTCCTCAATAGAGGTCGCAGCCCCACCACCCAATGCCCATAGGAGACAATAGACAGCACCCAAACAGCATAAAATGGCCAATACCCGGCAGCCACCACCTCAGCTCCCCCCCCCCACCCCCCCCCCCGCTACCCCCCCCCCCCCCCCCCCCCCCGAGTCATTACTTTGTAAAACCACCTTTCACTGCAAGACTTATTGGGTATGTCTCTACCAGCTTTGCACATCTAGAGAGTGAAATTTGTGTCCATTCCTCTTTGCAAAATAGCTCAAATTCTGTCAGATTGGATGAAGAAACACCATGTTTCACAGTGGGGTTATTTTCAGGGTGATGTGCAGTGTTAGTTTTTGTCAGGGCTCCAGGTGTGACCAGAGATGTGTGACTGACGCAGGGAAAACGCAGACCTCAGATATGTTATAAACAATGTAATTTATTAACACTAACAATACAACCATAAACGCAGTGCAATACTAAAACATAATACAGTGCAAACAAACCAAACCAACCACCCACAGATAACAGTACAAACAAGCAAGCGTCGTCAGGCAGGCCGGGTCAATATCAATAGGGCAGGTAGGTACAGGGGGAGCAAGCGGAGAATGGTCGGGGTCACAGGCCAGGTTCAGCAGGTAGCAAGCAGCGTAGTACAGAGGGTCAGGCAGAGGGATGGTCAGGGTCACAAGCCAGGGATCAGAACAGGGTCAGCAGAGAATCAAGCAGGAACAGGATACAGGATGCAGGACAGATACAGGGCCCAGGACAAATACAACACCAAGGCAGAGTTTGCAAGTCTGGCCATCCCTTAAATACACCAGTATCATCAGTTCCAGGTGTTAGCTGGCTGAAAGGATGAGTCTCTGATTGCTGGGAGCACCCGCTGGCCAGCCCTGGTACTGCAGATCAAAAGGCAGGTGAGTCCCACCATTGCTGGCCAGTCCATTCCTGACAGTACCCCCCCCTCAAGGAGCGGCCTCAGGACGCTCCAAACAGTCCTAGCTGGGTAAAATGTTCCACCGCCCGGGTCTGGTAACTGGCGGGATATCAAAGACTGCACACCGGGCAGGACTCCGGGCAGCGGCACACCGGGCTGGACTCCAGGCAGAGGCACACCGGGCAGAGGCACACCGGGCAGGACTCCGGGCAGAGGCACATCGGGCAGGACTCCGGGCAGAGGCACACCGGGCAGGACTCCGGGCAGAGGCACACCGGGCAGGACTCCGGGCAGAGGCACACCGGGCAGGACTCCGGGCAGAGGCACACCGGGCAGGACTCCGGGCAGAGGCACACCGGGCAGGACTCCGGGCAGAGGCACACCGGGCAGGACTCCGGGCAGAGGCACATCGGATTACCAGGCGAAGCAGCAGGCAGTGGGCCACCAGGCGGAGCAGCAGGCACCGGGCCCCCGGGCGGAGCAGCAGGCAAAGGGCCCCCGGGCAGAGCAGCAGGCAAAGGGCCCCCGGGCGGGGCAACCGGCACCGGGCCCCGGGCGGGGCAACAGTCACCGGGCCCCCAGGCGGGGCGGCGGGCATCGGGCCCCCAGGCGGAGCGACAGGCATCGGGCCCCCAGGCGGGGTGACAGGCATCGGGCCCCCAGGCGGGGCGACAGGCATCGGGCCCCCAGGCGGGGCGACAGGCGCCGGACCCCCAGGTGGAGCGACAGGTCTCGGGCCCTCAGGCGGAGCGGCGGGCGCCGGACCCCCAGGTGAAGCGACAGGTCTCGGGCCCTCAGGCGGAGCGTCGGGCGCCGGACCCCCAGGTGGAGCGACAGGTCTCGGGCCCTCAGGCGGAGCGGCGGGGCGCCGGACCCCCAGGTGGAGCGACAGGTCTCGGGCCCTCAGGCGGAGCAGGTCTCGGGCCCTCAGGCGGAGCGGCGGGCGCCGGACCCCCAGGCGGAGCGACAGGTCTCGGGCCCTCAGGCGGAGCGGCGGGCGCCGGACCCCCAGGCGGAGCGACAGGTCTCGGGCCCTCAGGCGGAGCGACAGGTCTCGGGCCCCCAGGCGGAGCGGCGGGCGCCGGACCCCCAGATGGAGCAACAGGTCTCGGGCCCTCAGGCGGAGCGGTGGGCGCCGGACCTCCAGGTGGAGCGACAGGTCTCGGGCCCTCAGGGGAGCGGCGGGCGCCGAGTCACCAGGCACGACAGTGGGCTCCGAGTCAACTGGCATGACCGCTGGAACTGGGTCAGACATTGGATCGTCTGGCTGGACAGCGGGCATCGGGTCACCAGGCATCAAGTCATTTGGCTCGACAGCGAGCACCGCGTCATCTGGCAAGGCAGTGGGCTCTGAGTCAACTGGCATGACCGCGGGCACTGGGGCAGACATTGAATCGTCTGGCCGGACAGCGGGCATCGGGTCACCAGGCATCAGGTCATTTGGCTCGACAGCGGGCACCGGGTCATCAGGTACCGGATTGTCTGGCTCGACAGCGGGCATCGGGTCACCAGTTATGACAGCGGGCACTGGGTCACCAGGCATTAGGTCATTTGGCTCGACAGCGGGCACCGCGTCATCTGGCAAGGCAGTGGGCTCCGAGTCAACTGGTATGACCGCGGGCACTGGGTCAGACATTGGATCGTCTGACTGGACAGCGGGCATCGGGTCACCAGGCATCAGGTCATTTGGCTCGCCAGCGGGCACCGCGTCATCTGGCAAGGCAGTGGGCACCGAGTCACCAGGTACGACAGCGGGCTCTGAGTCAATTGGCACGACAGCGGGCACCGGATCAGGTACCGGATCATCTGGATCAACAGCGGGCATCGAGTCAACTGGCCTAATAGGATCGTCAGGCTGGATCAGTTCATCATGCTGGGTAGAGGCATCAGGCTGAATGCCGGCGTCCGGCTGAGTAGAGGCTTCAGGCCGAGTAGAGGCTTCAGGCCGAGTAGAGGCTCAGGCTGAAGAGAGGCATCCGGCTGAAGAGAGGCTTCAGGCCGAGTAGAGGCTTCAGGCCGAGTAGAGGCTTCAGGCCGAGTCACAGAAGGCAGGTTCACCGGTTTGGATACTGGCAGGATGGTATTGGTTGGAAAGAATTTTCATTTTTTTTTCTGGTTTTTAACTACTGGAGCACTGCAAGTAAACGCAGGTCTGCAAACGAATGGAGCAGCTGGAGACAGAGAAGAACTGGAGGATGGAACAGAAGGGGGAGCAGTTGCTACAGAGGGCTTTTTTACAGGGTTAAAGGCAGGATAGGTGCAGCGAGTGGGAACAGGGTACTGACATGCGGTAGATAGCCAAGTATACTGGGCTGTAACTGGAGGAGCTGTTGGGAATACAGGAGTAGAGTTAGAAGCAGGACTGGGTCTTTGTAAGCTGACTGAGGCTGGGTGCAACAAGTCTGTCCATGTCTGCAGTAGGAGTTGAACAAAGCTGAGCTTACACAAAGCCTGTCTGGTCAATGACTGCACTGCGTTTATACAATCTCTTAGTGTCTGTGGTGAACATGTGGAATAACGCTCCAGAAAGTAACCCACATCATCCTCTAATAACCATACCAGGGACTCTACCTGGTCTGCACTAAATAGTGGCAAAAATTCATCCCTGCATTCGGGGGAACCAGATGAAACCAACTCAACACAAACCTGAATCAATGGCTGCACCATAGAGAAATCTGTGCCCTGATCTACTAGAACATGAGCGAGCCGTATACATTCTAGCAGTTCATCCCGGGGATACTCCTTCAGAGTCTGATAAGCATACTCTCTGTCATCAAGCACTAGCAGAGATAAATACTCAACCTCATCCAGATCCATCCTTCCCATCAACAAGCCAAGATGGCTTCCCTGTGCAGCCACTTCTGGTCAGGATTGGCCTTGGTGTAATGTCAGGGCTCCCAGGTGTGACCAGAGATGTGTGACTGACGCAGGGAAACGCAGACCTCAGATATGTTATAAACAATGTAATTTATTAACACTAACAATACAACCATAAACGCAGTGCAATACTAAAACATAATACAGTGCAAACAAACCAAACCAACCACCCACAGATAACAGTACAAACAAGCAAGCGGCGTCAGGCAGGCCGGGTCAATATCAATAGGGCAGGTAGGTACAGGGGGAGCAAGCGGAGAATGGTCGGGGTCACAGGCCAGGTTCAGCAGGTAGCAAGCAGCGTAGTACAGAGGGTCAGGCAGAGGGATGGTCAGGGTCACAAGCCAGGGATCAGAACAGGGTCAGCAGAGAATCAGACAGGAACAGAGAGCAGGAACAGGATGCAGGACAGATACAGGGCCCAGGACAAATACAACACCAAGGCAGAGTCTGCAAGTCTGGCCATCCCTTAAATACACCAGTATCATCAGTTCCAGGTGTTAGCTGGCTGAAAGGTTGAGTCTCTGATTGCTGGGAGCACCCGCTGGCCAGCCCTGGTACTGCAGATCAAAAGGCAGGTGAGTCCCACCATTGCTGGCCAGTCCATTCCTGACAGTTTTTCACCACACAGAGTTTTGCTTTTAGGGCAAAAAGTTCAAGTTTGGTCTCATCTGATCACCACCTTCCACATGTTTGCTGTGTCCCCCACATGGCTTCTAACAAACTGCAAACGGGACGTCTTGTGGCTATCTTTTAACAATGGCTTTTTTCTTGCCACTCCTCCATAAAGGCCAGATTTGTGGAGTGCACGACTAATAGTTGTCCTGTGGACAGATTCTCTCACCTGAGGTATGGATCTCTGCAGCTCCTCCAGAGTTACCATGAGCCTCTAGGCTGCTTTTCCAATTAATGCTCTTCTTGCCCGTCCTGTCTGTTTAGGTGGACGGCTGTGTTTTGGTAAGTTTGCAGTTGTGCCATACTCTTTCCATTTTCAGATGATGGATTGAACAGTGCTCTGTGAAATGTGCAAAGCTTGGGATATTTTGTTATAATCTAACCCTGCTTTAAACATATCCACAACTTTATTCCTGACATGTTTGATGTGTTCCTTGGCCTTCATGATGCTGTTTGTTCACTAATGTTCTCTAGCAAACCTCTGAGGGCTGCCCAGAACAGCTGTATTTATACTGAGATTAAATTACACACAGGTAGCCTCTGCTAATTAGGGGACTTCTGAAGGCAATTGGTTCTACTAGATTTTAGTTAGTGGTATCAGAGTAAAGGGGGCTGAATACAAATGCATGCCACACTTTTCAGATATTTGTAAAAAATTTAGAACCATTTATCATTTTCCTTCCACTTCCCAAATGTGCCAATTTTTTGTTGGTCTATCACATAAAATCCCAATAAAATACATTTACATTTTTGGTTGTAACATGACAAAATGTGGAAAACTTCAAGGGGTATGAATACTTTTTCAAGGCATTGTATATCCAAGAATATGCATTGTAAGGTATAGAAAAGTAAGAATAATCTTGGTCTTGAGGACGTGTAGTTTGCCATGAATCTATCAGTTGGTAAGAATGGAGAAGCTGAATATGACAGATGGGAGGCTCAATATAACAACAGATGGGAGGCTCCCCTGGACACATCAAGTAGGGGGTCAAGAGCTAGATTCAAGTCACCTCCAATAACAAGTGCCCTCTCTATGCTGGTACTATGCTATATGTTCTAGAAATCTTTCTAGAAAAACAATCATTTTGGAAGATACAGTATAGGTTGGCCAGGGTGATTTTATGCTCCAATATAGTTTCCTTCACAATCAAATAGTGTCCATCATTGTCCGAAATAACATCAGTCTCCCTACAGGGAAGTTGGTTTGAAAAAGGATAGAAACACCTTTTGTATTTAGAATTTGGGGGAAGCACTGTGATATGCAAAGGGAAACCTAGAGCAATGCAAACTAGGGTTCTCATTCATGAGGAAATGTTGCAGAAACACCACTTGAGCCTTGATGCAATTTACTTGTTTTTACAAAGCTTGACATTGCAGCCAGAGTGCCGGAATCGGTGTATGGTACTGTTGGTACTAATAGAACTGTTCTAGAAATTTGGTGTCAAACTCCAGTTTGAGGTTCACTAACACATTTTTCAGTCAATACCTCCTGTGACACAGATGATAAATTGTATCACTTGTTTGTGAAGAAAACTGAAACACTTTTAAGGGTATCAATGTTAGCACCATTGTTTGTATTTAACTGTCTTATGTGTTATATGTATAACCAATTAGATCATTGATGTTAATTAGGATGGTCATACACAGATCTTAGTTTACCCTGAAGGCTGGATTTCTCCACAAATCTGCTGCAGCGGCTATTGGATTAACTATCAGAATACCCAAACAATGGCTGCATCTATTTGGATGCAGCCACTGTTCGGCCCACAATTTTCTGTCTGGCTCCTTTGATTTTTCAATTGAAGGATGTTGGACGGCAGAGTGGCAACAGGGCAATCCATGTAGCCAGTTTCATCTAGCTTATTTGCGTTCAAACTGGGTGAAGTTTGCATGTTACAAAGCCAACTTTACTTATTTTTTTGTGGGTATTTCTAGAACCCTTATGGAGGTATGTATAAAATAATATATATTTTATTATAAAATCCATACATGTGTTATAAAATATCTAAGTTTTGGATGAAATCAAGTCAGTCAAGGATAAAAAAATATATATTTTATCCGTGGATGATCCTTGCAGGAAATATTACAAAGCATTCTTTTTTGGATTGCAGAACTGAAAACTATACTTCACAGTTTTACTTCAGAGAACCCACAGATATGTTTCTTAGAAACAGGGAGCTACATTTAGAGAACAGTTCCCTTTTCTGAGCATTGTATTTCTCTCTCACAAAAGAAGCTTATGTGCAGGTTTCACACCCTGCATTAAAAGAATGTACTGCTCTATGGGAATGGTTCTCAAATGTTTTAATCAATGTATTCCTAAAGTCAGGTACCCCCCACCAAGAGGTTTCAAGCTTAACATCTATTTAAAAATGTTGATTTCCTTTTTGATTCATATGGTGACTCTGTACATGTAATAAACAAGTATCTGCATTTCCAGAAAAAAAAAAGAGACAAAATATATATCCTCCGAATTCTCAAGTTGGTCCGTGTTTTCCACAATTTTACTTTTTAGTGTCACAGATGGCAGCTGACTTGTATGTCTGCAGAAGCATCAAGTCTACTTCCCCTTTCATTTTTGTTTAGAAAATCCATATTCATGCATATAGACAACAATAAGGTTACATACTGCTAAATCTGCCACAGCTGGAAAAAAGTGTAAGCGATCAACCCAAAATAAAGACAGAGAAACAATATTAGTGCCTGGAACAATAGATCAAGCAGGGATGCTCAACCATTTGAACAGTTAGGGCCACTTAAGTGATTTGGTAATTGGTCACAGGCCACAATAAAATTAAATGGTTAAGAATTTTGAATTTATTGGTATCACTCAGCCCGGGATGAGGAGCTGGCGCTATATAGGAAGCACCAGCTCGCTGCGCTCAGGTGCTCTGGGTTAGCAATCCAAGATTACGATCAATGGGTTACCAACCCCAAGTATGCACTTCCCTGGTTTGAGGTCGTGGGCCACATTAGAGGGCTCCATGGTCATGGGTTGAGCACTCCTGGGTTAAGGATTTGTGTCCATTGGCATCGATTTGACATCACATTGAAATTCTTCAGAATTCTTTGAAAGGTGCATTGGACCTGCATTTCAACTGCCACAATATCATGGACCATTTAATATCACAGAGGCCAATATTCTGTAGAGACTCAATGATCTTTTAGTTTCTAGTACCACAGTTATGACACTGCTAGATGTAGGGCTCAGCTACAGAAATACTTGGTCAGAATGGTTTATCATTTATTACTGTGGCCATTTTCCTATTGTTGCCTTGTTGGGTGTGTAGCCCAAATAATTCCTCCTTTTCTAGCCTGTGTATGTCAAAGGGTGTGGCATTGCTGGAAGGATCATTGTCATCCGGAATCAGGGTATCCATACATCAGCTGCTCCTTCAAGGGTAAGCACTACATTGGATTATTGGAGTCAAAGCTTCACCTCATCCACCAAGCTAAGTGACATTTTGCAAAATTAACACATCTACTCCTTTAGTATATCATCCCAGTTTTTTTTAAATATTTC